AGTCACTCTTTGTCGCTTTTTTTGCGTTACCCTTTAACTCTAGGAAAGTGCTCTGAATCACATATGGAATTTGTTCTTTGCAGGCTCTAGTAACTCAACTTCACCACGTTGAACGTCAAATCCAAGCATGTGAGAATTCCCTGAGAGAAGAAAAGGAGAAACGAAGGAAGTATTATGTAAGAATTCCGTCTTATGCCCTAACTGCATGTGATGATTTGCTCCTTAAGATTACACTTATCAAATACTTAAAAACAGCTTCGTATAATGAATCCCAATCTCCTTCGCAGCTACGTTGCTTGACAGACCTAACATTGGCTTCAAATGATGCCACACGAATGCTAGTATCTTGATTTATTTCACCCGTGATCCAAACCCTCTATGACATCGACAGTAAAATTGGCATGTGATGTCGACGTTTGTGAACAATTTTCGGAGCCGTTTTGCTCAAATTATTTCCAGGATTGAACGTAATTCTTGTCTAGTTCTTACTTTATGTAACTTCATGTCTGATTGAGTTTTCATGCATTTCATATTTTAAAAAGACCTGTGTTTCGGTGAAGTTTTTTTGTTGGGGCTCTTCCTAGTAATAGGCTAATAGGGATGTGCCGCTTGGTGAGGTCACATTTTTCCTCTGGACTGACTATCATAGGGTTCCATTTTCAGTAGAGTTATCAGAAATAGGGTTCCGTTTTCAGTAGAGTTATTTGAATAGAGTTGCTCATTTTCTGGAGTTCTGGTATAAGCTCGGATTTAAAAACGAGAACCTTTTAGCTTAACATTCTTCATGCCAGCATCTGAATTTTCGCATACAATTTTAAGATGACCTACTAAAAAGGCTCTATAAGGTAGATGCATTAAAAGAAAGTGACCAAGTTGGGATCGCAAAAATTACATTTGCCCAAATGGTGATTTAAGAAGGCTGAAACTGACTCAAGCACCCTTTCCCCCCTCCTCAACTCTGTCCGTCTGAGCATTTTTTTCATCACGTGAATATATTTGAAACCCCTCATGTGCTTTGTGTCAGGTGGACCACAGCCGGCGTACACATGACTACGATCCCTTTATTCGGACATTTGTGACCATGTTAGCTGAGCAAGGGCATGTAGCACAGCTTGTGGAACAACAGACTTCACTGAAGCGACGGCTGGCCCAAACAAGACCTCCCTTAAAACAGCTTAAAAGAGTGTACAAAAGGAGAAAGCCAAGGTGAATTCTAGCACTGAAGTGAAGAAGAGAGAAAAGATCTCGATAATGGAAAATACTTTGTATACCAAATGGAGGGGGTTAACATCAAACATCGAGTTGGGCTCAATGTATTGGAGCCGGTTTTATTGGTTAAAGTGATTTTTAATTGATTTTTGTCCAAGTTGTCACAATGGGCAACCAAAACAAAGAAAAGTATGAGAAGAAGCCATTCAATGATCAAAGTAAACCAACTGAAATGGCTTCACGTGCAGGGAAACGTGAGTGGTCAATTTGCGATCGCGTGTAGTTTGCATCTGACTGGTTGAAAAGTGGCGGGAGTTTTCCAAGCCAATCAAATAATGTGAAAAAGACAAAGTCGATTGGAACGGCCCCCAACAAAATTTAGAATCCAATACATTTTTCTTCATCAGTCATGTTATGCAAGCTTCTCTACGAAGATGAAGAAAGTACTATTTTTAGTTTTTGTAAGAAGCATTTCAAACGAAAAGAACAGTATTCAATGAACAGTAGACGAGGAAATCTTATTTGTATAAATGCTGTATATATCATTCATAGAATAAAACGTTTAGTTATGTTACTTATCACGAGGATTAACTGATAGTGGTGTAAAATCAATTGAGAGGAACTCAGGAAGCATTCAAAGCAGTCACTTCCTCTGCAGTTGAAACTATACCGTTTCATATTTTCTTCAGCCGTTTAGCTGATTTATTTAAAAATTTAGCGATAAAACAAAGGAGTAAATTTTATTACTCAAAGAGGAAATAAGAGGACTTTGACTTACGTTACAGACTAAGTCAGAATCATTGTGCTTTGCTCTCAGTTCTTATTGTCTACAAGTTTTCCCAGTTCAGCACCGGCTCATAACTCTTACATCAATAAAGAAACTTAAAGCATCCCTGATTGTTGAAAGATCATCGAAAAACTCAGCCATTGATATGTCTGAAATTTAGCCCAGGGCATCGCAAGTAGGGCAACTATAAAATCCAGTCAATGACAACATTTTGACCACTGTGACGACAATTTTCATTGTCGATAAAGGTACAGACCTCGCTAAACCACTGTCGATTGGTTAACTCGAAGATCCTGGCTATTACCCTAAACCAAATACCGTACTTCGATTTGAGGAAATTCATTTATGAAAAAAACGAAAATAGTGATTCTTCAAGGTTTTTCAAAAGTAGTTTGAGTTTGTGACTGCGCTCTCGATTTCAATGATAACGTCACTATAATGCTGACGAAAGCTTATTGAAATTAACCTCTTCCCAATCCTCTCCAGGCGGTGATCAGAGGCGAGGCTGCGTTCAATTACCAGTTAGAACGACACTTGTTAGTGGAAATATCTTGGGGTGTGCTTTTGCGAATATCGCACGTGAAACTTTTAACGTACTTGCAATCAAGAAATGTCCGGTCAACAATCTTGCTACGCGTGTGACAAGGAAGGCAATATGAAGCGCTGTTCGAGGTGTCAGCATGCTTTCTATTGTTCAAAATCGTGCCAAAAAAGACATTGGAACAGACACAAGCCCAATTGCATTCCGCCAGATTCTTCTTTGCATGAATTAAACTCAGCTTGTTGGAAAGATTCATTCCCAGGTCCTCTTGCGGCAAGGGACTATGGCTTCGACAATTTGAGGTCATACCATGGAGATGTTTTGTTGGCTAATGGGCTAACGGCTGAACATATCTTGCTTGGTTTGTATCAGATTATAATGAGGGATATTGGAAATATTCACCGACCTGGCCCTTTCTGTCAAGTATTAAGTTCGATCAATGTGTCACTTAAGATGTTGCTTGATGCATACGAAAACAATAAATTGGATGATTTTATTCAGCGTTTTATTAAAAGTGTTTATGACAACTGTGGAGATTCATTGAATGAAGGCAATTATTGTTCTCTATGGCTGCAACATAAGCTTGTTATTGGCCCAACAAATATGGGGTCGATAACACAGCAGCAAATGCAACAGTTAAGAAGTAATATTTACCTTAAGTACTATGGCGGTCATGAAGACAATGTTATTTGAGCAAGTTATCATCAGAGAAGTCTGATTCTTCTGAAGCTAGACTGATTTACTTGTTTCAGTCGCTCAAAATATTTTTACTATTTTGTGTTCACTTTAGGATAGGCTTTCACCAGGTGTTCAACATAAATAATTGAAGGATCCATCCTTTTCAATGGGGTATTTGTAGTATAAGATGACTAAACAACTCAATAATGATAATGATGGTAATGAGAATGAGTAAAAAATGATGATAATAATAACAATAATGATAATATACTTTTAAAGCAGTCCACCTAGTAGTTTTTCTCTTAAACCAAACAAGTGAACAGTAATAGCTAAATTAAAATGGAAAAATAATGACATGCTGATTATATTATCCACTAATCAGTAATTAAACCTCTCTAGGCAGCTGGTATATTAACTGGTAACATTTGCGGCAGAGATGTTGTCCAAGAAACTAATATTTGGTTGAGAAGCAAAGCTTCAAGGGTAAATGTGAAATTTTGAATACAATCTCAAGGCCAAGGACATTATCAGCCAACATAACAGCATACCTGAAAGGGGTTTATTTATTTTAAAACCCTCCCATTAATTTTCATATTGTGTGTTGATATCAAACATTGACTTTTTGGTAAATTCTGCAGCAGTATTTAAGATCAGCCTTTTCAAGACACTGTCACTGGACTCTAGAAAACTGGTACATATTTCTTTCATGTAAAGTAATAAAGACAAAAAGTGAAAATCTTGAGCTGGCTTTTTTCTGCTGGCTTTGTTTCTTATTGATGGAAATAATCAAAGAACAAACTTTGATGTAGAGAAGGTTATTGCTTGATAACTGTCTGGTGTTTTTGCAATTTATGAAAAGATACAATTATGTAAAAATTGATGGGTGCAAGGTTATAACAAGAAGTTATTTGCTTCCAGATAGCTGTAAATATGAATTGTGACATACTGATGATCAGATTTAACTGTAGCCTTGACAAAGCAGTTTTATGATTTTTACTCAAGTAAGGCTCAATTTCAAGTGAGTGATGATTTTGTGTCATTAGCATAATTAAAATGAACTTGCATACAAGTGAAATATGTTGTAAAAATTACACCAGAAAGAAAAGTGTTAGCCTCATGGTTGTGACATATAGTATCAATAATAAATAACTAAGCACAACTATTGTAACAGGCAATTACTGTTATTTTAATGTTTGCGACATTCCTGTACAACCACTAATATTTTTGTGGGCAATTAAAGAATTAATTTAAAATCAATTGATTCATCAATTGATTATGTACAACACCCAAAGTAATTTTCAAGTAATTAAGTGGTCAAGGCAGTCACTGTAGAAAAGAGAAGAACAACATGCTTAAAGGCATTAACATGGGATGTGTTGGTCAATATCAACAGTCCTGCTGGTTTTATGGAAAATTGTAAATTTGGTGCTGACTTCTTAATGTACAGGAATGAAATAGAAAATAAAAGACGGGGGGAAAAAAGTCAACAACAGCAGATATTATGCGCAGTCACCTATCAAAATGGTAAACCTCATGAACCCCACCCAACAGAGTTGAACTTCAGTGTAAAACACTGAAGCTCACGGCTAATTTCCGAATCTGACTTTGATGACACTCAAGCAAATTTTAAACGTGGTCTGCCACAGGCATCCCTCGTAATAAGCAGGAAAAAAGAGAATTATAGTGGAGAGACGAGGTACGTTCCACGGAGACGCTCAGGGTGCCTTATATGACATATTTACCTGTGAAGTGGCACTGAGGTAGTTCACAGAGGGAATGGGGCGAGTTAATTTCTAAGATGGCGGAAGAAATGGAAGAGGACACATGATTTCGGGAAGTTGTTTTAGAAGTTTGGAACCTTGCTGAAACTTCGAAAATAATACTTTGGATCGTATATTCTCAGGAAGTAGTGATTTAGATCATTGGAAATGCCAAATAGTAGGCTAAAGAAGAGGCGTCTAACGCCAAATGCTACCGAGAAAAAGGTGAAAACAAAGCGAGTTCGGAGAGACAGTGATCCGTGTGTTTCCAAATCAGATAGTCCTTCAAATAAATGTGAAGAAGAAGGAAGCGAAGATGTTTGCACTAACCTTACTCTTAAAAGGTCAGTTTCTACACTATCTCGTGACGAGACAAAAATTGTTCAATTATTGAAAGTCGGCGCGTTTAAATACAAAAAAACGTGTTGCAATAGCCTTGAAAACATTTCATGTCAGCTTGCATCGAAAGAGGCTTTAGTGCCCAAGAGTCCTGAACTCATATGTGCATGAACATACTGTGGTTGCAGTGGCATACGCTTCAGCAATTCCGGGGCACAAAATAAAAATTAAAAAAAAACCTAGAGCCTCCCCCTACCATACTCTATAGACTGGTCCATGGCAGCACGTAAAATTACATACAGCTGTTGAGTCTCTTGACCGTCCTTGCTTCCTTGTGGTCTTGGGTTCTTGGTAAATAGTATGATATCATTTGACTTACACATGATAGGATGTGAAAAACTGAGTTTAATTTTGTTTCTGTTTCTTTACTTTACAGTGTATTGTCTCTCTCAGGTGACTTGGAAAATGCTTGTCTGCTTTTTCTTGCCAAAGGACAGGTATGCATGTGGCTTGTTGTCTTTCCAATATAGGGTTGTACAGAGTTCTTAAAACTCAGGCAGTAAGCATGAGACTCATGCCATCAAATTCAATCTTATGCTCTCACACTGAGATTATTACATCTCATGCATTTAAACTGTTGATTTGGAAATAACATTCTACTGCTTTAGTTAAATGCCTATAAAAATTGGTTATCCTTTTAAATTTAGTTTACTGTTGGTTCCATTTTTACCTGCTTCAATCAATTTTGCACAGTGACAATTCCTGCTCAGAATAAAGGGATTCACATCTTAGTTGCTTTTTGTCACAATTTTCTAGGGGAGCATGATGCCCTCAGACCTCCCCTCCCAGTAGTTGGTGCTCACAGAATTTTACTCATAGCTAATGAATAAACTCAAGAACTCTAAGTTGTACCTCTTTCATTTTTTTTTTTTTATTATTTTTATCTCATTTCTTCTTAGCACTTGTATATGTGTTAATCCCTAATGCAAATTATGTTTCATTTTTACAGAGAATTTGCACGAAAGGACTGGCTAATGTTAAAGTATTAATTGGAGTTGTGAATATTCTTGGCTCAAATATTGGACCTGAACATGAAGCAGTTCAAATCTTTTCACCAAGTTCATCAAGCCTTATTTCATTGTGTGAGTTTAGTGATGCCAAAATCAAACTGGAGACAAAAAAAAGAACTTTGAAAGAAACTCTTAAAAAGCAGTCAGCAGACTTGATCCAAAAAGCTGTAAAAAGGGCCAAGAAAGCTGCCGCAGTTCTATTGATTTCATCATTACAAACTGTTGAGACCAGCTTCGTATCCAGCTTTCAATGCTATGAGGGAATCTTTAACCTGGATCTTGACAAGGTAGATGCTTTTGTTACAACTTTGCAAATAACACACCTTAGTAACTGTGTTCCTGATTAGTTTCTCTATTCATCAAAAATTTGTTCTCATAGGTTTGTTTGTTTCTATTTCTCTTTAGTGCAATTTGCTAATCTATAGCACCTGTCTGTCTTTGTCAATAATCTTTTTTCATTCTAGATATCTGTTTTTTTCTCCACTTCTCTGTCCATTCGCTCATTTTTTTCTCATAAGAATAAATAAAGAATAAAGGAAATGATCACTTACCAGTGAACCTTTGATTGTTAGAGAAATTCTCTATGTCAGCACCTTAGGAAATATGCAAAAGAACAGTATGGGGAATATGCATACTGATATTAGGGCATAAAGGTTAACACATGGTGATTTAATTACAGAGTTATTCATTAAACAGTACAGAACTGGCTTTGAAGAAAAGGACTGCTGCGCTAGGATTCATTATTGTAAGGAATACCTAATATATATTTTTTTCTCCTCCATTTATTCATTGTCAAATGTAGTGTAGTGTCATGTTACATTAAGATCATACTTAAAATAAAGAATAAAATAAATAATAGTTTATTAACATTTCTGGCAGTTAAAAACTAAATAAACAGTGCAGGTTACAAAATTAGATACTAATAATTAAATACATTTACAATAATAAGTATTGTAATAATAATTGGAATCACAAGAACTTAAAAGTATAAAAGTCATTTGCTCTCTTTGTCCTTTTTGTTGTTGTAGTGCCTTTAGTATTTCCAGATCTTAACTGATATGGGATAGCTGTACTTGCAGTTACAAGTACAGTGAAAGTTTAGTTAAGTTTTTTCAAGTACAATACAGGTTATGTCTGAGTACAGTTATGGGATAGCTGTACTTGCCGCTAGCTGTACATGCATGTACAGCTATAGGAGTGGAACCCATTACTTATCCTTCACAATGAGATTATGCATCATTCATGACTGTATATTAAATAGGGTGAAGATCAAAAGTGACAGGGGTGCTTTGTCAGTGGGGCTGTCACACAATAATCTGGTTTTATCAACTGAGTTGATAACTGACTGTGAATATTATATTATGTATGAAAATCATAGTATGTGAACTGCAGATTAAGAAAAGAACATGAAAGTGATCTTCCCAGTTATGAACTTTAATTAAGCAGTAGTGCAAATCAGGACTGATCTACTGCTTAAGTAGTGTTCATTACAGCAAAGATTGCTTCATGTTCATTTGAGTTGATAAATGTAACTTGATAAATGTAAAGCAGAGGTTTTTAGTGTTAGTCCTTCATCACAGCAAATGACATATGACTCATGCATGAAACATGAGCCAAATTATATAATGAGAGGACATGCAACCTGCAATGTTTATTGAACTGATGATGTACATAATTTCCTATCACAAAACTGTTTTGTCACAATAACAGACTGATAGTTGGGAAAACATTAGCTAGATATTACATCATAAAACATATGTATGATTTATTATTTTTTAACATGTACAGTAAAAGTATAATCTTTAAATTGTGTTGTTTAGCTGAACCCAGAATCAAGATGTAACATTCTCATGATCCCTAAAGAGTGGAAAGGTATTGCCAGCTCACTGCAAAATGCTGATGAAGGTGTTCCAGGGGAAGGTAACCTGTTACATGTAGGATATGTTCAAATGGCATGTTAACCATTTAACTGCAAAGATCTAATTGTTAATCATCCCCTCAAGTTTCTCTATAAATTAGTTACAAGAATTTGGTGTTTAAGATTAAGATAACAACTTCCACCTGATAAGTTTGAGTATCCTCATTACCTGTGTGCTGGATAATGCGAGGATATATACTCTATATAAATATTTGGATATATCTTAATATGCATATGTATATTTATTTCCCCTTGTCTTTCCATTTTCTCTTGTTCCCCTATTTCCTAACTGTACCTTCTTTTCCCCAACTTCCTACATTTCTGCCTGTTCTACAGGTACCCACTGTTTTTTTCCATCCTCCTATTTTTCAACATCTCTCACTGTCCTGAAACATCTTATCACTTCTCCTCACTCTGACCTAATGGATGATTGGGATCAATGTCAGTATTTGAGCAACAGCTCACCTACCCCTCCCCTAAACCAACGTTAGCCTTAACCTTGTCATCAGTTGACTGTTATTGGATTAGGGGAGGGGTAGGTGGTGGCTCAGATACTGACATTGATTGGATGATTGTTTTGAAGTTTCTGCATGACCCATTTAAATACTGATTTTGTTTTTATTTCTAGTAAACACCCCAGTTGTTTTAATATGTGGTGGAAAAGATGTGGGAAAGTCAACATTTGCAAGATATCTCACAAACTTTCTTCTAAATAGGTATTGTACATTTGAGTTACTTCTACTACATAAGATTTGCTTGCATCTGTGAATTACACCACTCCAATCTTTCCTTCGTAGTCACAAGGAAATTTATTTTCTTGAGTGTGACGTAGGGCAAACAGAATTCACTCCACCTGGTTTGATTTCACTTCATAAAGTTGGTACTCCTTTATTTGGTAAGTAAACATCTGGCTGGCTTCCTTAAATAAGACTTAGGAAAAGTTAAAACTTTGAACTTTGGATGAAAATTTTGTGAAATATTTTCAGCTGCAGTACTCAGTGCAGAAGACTCAAATTAATGTAGGCAAAAATTTTCATCCCATTTTTAACCCTTTGACCTCAAGAGTGACTAGCATCTAATTTCCCCTTACATATCACCCCTGAATCACACATTAAGGTCACTAGAATAAAGGAAATGGTCACCAATTCATGAAACTCTTGTTTGTTAAACAAATTCTCCTGGTCAGAACCTTAAGAAATGTATGGAGAACAGTAAGGAGATTATACAGACTGATGTTAGGATGTAAGGGGTTAATGCTGTGGGGTAGTTTGTGTAAGGATTCTTCTTTATTCCTTTAGGCTTTTTTGTGGAGCAACTACTGTTTTTGCATTGGTACAATATTTTGGCAGCCACTTTTCTCTGCTGTGATTTTAATCGAAGTTTTACCTTTCCTCTCTATTGAGCCCCTATATGGTTTTGGAAAACCCATTTACTTCCAAAAATGATTTTTATTTTGCTTCTATAAATGCACTACCCAGCAAACAGATAATGGGGAAACTACAAGCCTATCAGTTGCAAGCATCGTCTGTATTTATAAAGAAATTCTCACACCTGATTTACAAGAGAAGATAAATCTGCTTGAAGGGAGAATTATTTGTTAGATCTTTTTTTTCACAGGTCCTCCCTTCACTCATCTCAGACAACCCGAGAGGTAGGTGGCGTTGGTAGTCTCAGGTAACATTAGAGAAATAGAGAAAAAAAAAATGAGAAGTTAATAAGTAAGTAATCAAGTACAGGTACATGGATAAATTCGTTGTATTTTGTCCTTTGCGACCGCATAGATTGAGGTAATACACACAGCTCAAAATGGTGATCTGCGCACGATTTACATGCTCTAAAATACTGCTATGAAACTGTGTTTGTTATCTTTAGGTCTGTGTTTTTCGGAGACAATTCTTCTAAAGATAGGCCAGAGTTGTACGTGCGCTGTATTCACGATGTGTACAAGACATACGCTGACCACTACAGGGGCAAGATTCCTCTGATTGTTAACACACAGGGCTGGGTGATAGGTAAGAACTGCTAATATGAAAGAGTCACCACAGTTTACAGAATAAATTGGATCAATCAATGTTTTTCTCCTAACATTTCACGGCATATATGTTCGCCTTATACTTTTCGTCCATGTACCGTGTACGTTTTGTTCGAATAACGGATTCGGTTTTGTGTCTACTTGTCCTGAGACAAAAGTGTTTCTTCCTGCTAAAGGTTCCCTGAGGAGAGAAAACCACTGGTATTCCTTTTATCCAGTAAACAATGTACATAGGAACGGAAGCCGTTGAGCCTCTAGTTTTTAAAAATATTTCATACGTAATTTCTCTTCGCAAAGCCTTCTCGTAATCATACGAATTAGTTCTGAAAGTAAATATGCCTGTCATGCGTTATTGGCGTGTATTCAGACGAGTCTTAAAGGTCATTCAGTTACACGACAATAAAATTAAATTATTATATCTCTCAGTACGTGCGCTACGTGTACGACTGGTCAATTTAGCGGGCCGTTTTTTCTGTAAGGCCTGCTAGATTCAAAAGCTTGTTTCATTTGAAATCTCCCTCCTCTTTTTTAACATAGATATATAATAATATCTTACTAACCTCGTTTTTTCAGTCTGTACTGTAAGTTACGGAATCTCGTATTTTCCGCCCGATTTATGGCCCACTTGCTTCGTTCTAGGGCCATACATCTAAGCGGAGAAACTCGGTTCGTAACTTGCAGTACGAACCGTAAATTCCGTTGGTATTAGAGGTATTCAGCAAAGAAATGGGTAAGAAATGGGATAATGGTAACTGAACACCTAGTAGGAACAAGGATGGCTGAGAATGGAAATGGTGAACACGGGTTGAAATTGATGAACTTGAGAAACGTAGGTTTGAAGACAAATCATGGCATGAATCGAATTGCTGATCATGTACTTTTTTTTTTTCTATAATTCAAGGGATGGGAGTTAATATACTGCTAGACGTGATTCGGATGGTGAAACCTTCGCATATCATCCAGTTAAATTACACATCAGAAGAAAGTGTCAACAAGAACTTGCCAGCCATAACAGACGAATTCTTAATGAACACACCTGGATGGGCGTTCGCAGATGATGCTGATGATGAAATCGAAAGTGTCCATAAGGATCAGAGGTAAGTGCGGCACATAAGAAAATAGGGATGAGACAAGCTATCACGTCGCTCATAACGAGGTCACCCATAGCCTCACTCCCATGAAAGAAGGCTTGGAAACCAAGTACAGACCGACAACTGTGTAATGAACAGTTTTATTCTTTCCTATAGCCATGGCGGTGTTAACTTCGACGTATATGATTGCCCCCCAATAGAAGGAGGCTAGTAACTTAGCTGCAACTGTTAAATGGACAATTTTCTTTCAATTCTTTTTCATCTAGCGACGGAACTGTGGACGTTGACGCGAATGAGCGGAGAAGTTGTAGTGTGTCGTCCAAACCTGTTGTGTTGCAAATAGATAGCACGTCTGAATCAAAAGGGCCGAATCCAACAACGTAAGTTCCTGCATTTACTGGTGTAGGGGAAGGGTAGGTGCAAAGTTGTTCAGATACATCTGGATCCGTGTTAACATCTGAGCAACTGCGTACCTACCCCTCCCCTAACCTGGCATTTACCCTAACATATTATCTGTTGTTGAGTTAGGGGATGGTAGTTGCGTAGTTGCTCAGTTACTGAGAGGGATCCGTCCGTATCTACCACTTTCAGTTTTTATAGTGAGAAACAAACTGAATGACTTCACAGTATCGCGAGATTCGTAGGTAAAATATAAATTCTTTTTTTAACCGACGTTGCCCACGAAGTGGCCGTTGCCGTTTCTACGTACCGACTCAGTCAGGTCTCGAATCGAAACTTCTTAACCCGAAGTCCAGCGCACTAACTTTTAAGCCAACGCTTCTCCCACTGCAACGCTTAAATGTAATCCGATTGAATGCAGGTTTGACTTTGCTAAGTCACCTGGAATCCTACGTATTGACATGAACATTCCTCGCCTTTCAGATCAAAATTCAGCCCTAGGGATCAACGCAGTTTGGCATTGTTGGCCTATTTCAGTCGGACAATAACGAACAACGCAATAGCCGAAGCTCGCGAAGTTCCGCCGGCTGTTAATGTGGCATCTTTGATGTCGTGCATCCCTTATCAAGTTCCTTGGAACATTTTGGCCATACATGTCATTCATTCAGAGGTAATAATGAAGAAGAGCAGATATTGAATTAGTTGTGGTTTAAAATTTACCACTTTCATTGACATCAAAACTGTGCATAAGCGTCACATATCGACATTTCTACTATCCTAGTATGTATGCAGGAAGTTTTTTACCATGGACTTAGTGAAACCGCCTAGCTTACCACGAGTCTCCTATAGCACAGCGGTAGCGCATCTGAAGTACTAATTGGAAAGTCGAAGGTTCCATTCCTATTCTGTGGGAGCACTTGGAGTCCTTTTTCTCAGAGTATACCTGTATCATTCACTGAATAATATCATCTCTCTCTAGTCATAGTTTGTTTTGAACTAAATGGATCTCATTGTATCGTTGGATAAATTAGGTTCTGAACTAGCTTACGAGACCAAAATGCTGATGATTGCCCTGTGAGGCTTCCCAGCGTTAGCTATCTTGATACATTATTTTAAGGAGAAATGTGCACCGAAAACTTCCTTTTCTCCTTTCCCAGCAGATATGGAAAATTCCTTCTTAACTGACTTTTTACAATTTCCATGGTATAGGTTCCTTGGAATCAAAGTCTCTTCTCAATAAATGCGAGTGTTGTGGGACTGGCCAAGATGAAATCAGACGAGGTACGATGTATAAACAGTTTAATTCGTACATTCACACCGCAAATAATAAAAATGAAAGCCGCCTAACTCCCAGACGTTGTTATTACATAGCTCCTCTTCAGTATTTTAATTCATTATGATTATTTTACAAACAACTGACGACGACTTGATTGGAGAAACAGCAGTCCGATTAGAGTTGAAAGATATAAAACTGTAAAGTTTATGTAGGTTTCTCCCTATTGCAAATTCGCCCCCTATCACGTTTACGAGTTCGCCTCCCAAAAGTGATGCGAGTTCGCACCCCCCTTTGCCAGTTTGCCAACAAATTTTTCAACTCGTTCCTTACGGCATACAAAAAATGTTACATCTGTAATTTGCCCAAGGTTAAGTGGCCTTGTTTATAGGCACTCCTCGAAAAAAAAAACCATACTGGAGGGAAAAAATCTGATGGCAAACTTGTTTTTTTTTTCAGATGCACCGCATTGGGGATGATAATAGCACACCATACTTCGTGGAAAAAAGTCCAGTTGCAGAATGCATTGGTCTTGGTAGGCATAACCTCTTTTAAACCCCCAGAAGTGACTAACATGTAACTTCTCCCTATAATATCAATACTGGTCTACGTGTAGCCGTACCCTCCCCCCGCTTAGGGTGAAACGGAGGCGAGGCAACGTCTACGCAAACCTGACACTAACCATGTTCCGTGACGTCACTCTTTTGAAAGAAAATATATAATGACTTTTTATTGGTTAACCCCTTTTGTAGATTCTTTCGTCAATTCTGATTGGCTAGATTTGGTAATTTATTTTCATACTAACGAACTGGTGAACAAAACGTTTTCATGGTCAACTTTTCAAACAACAGCGATCTACGACGAGGTTTTTAAGGCAAGTTTGCGCGACTTTTGGGATAGAGACATTTCAAGAAGAACAGCAGAAAGCCACAGAAATGTTTTTCGAAGGTAACGATGTCTCCGTTTCGTTACCAACTGGCTATGGAAAATCTTTAATATATCAAGCAGCGCCAGTGATCGATCGCCTGTCTTCTCTAGATGAAAGTGGTCACTATATTTATTGTGCCGCCCGTTAAAGCTCTCAAAGAAGACCAGGTGCACTATCTCAATGTACTTGGGCCAAGAGGATTGTCCGCCTTCAACTTTCGGTCTCTTTGCGAA